AGGTTTAGGACTGAATTAACACAAATGTAATAGGTTTATAACTTTTTTTAAATTTCCCACCATCGTCCCACATTCCTTTAGACAAATCTGCGACTTTGTCTTGCCACCCAACTGAAACTGCACCACAAACCGAGCCCCTATGGTGAACCCACTTCTATTAATTGAATCGGATGCACATAAATCATGAAATGTCTCTGGCCATAAAAACAATTAGAGAATAATGTTTTTTTATTTCATAAAAAACAAATGATTTGAAAAACAGCTTTATAAAAATATTCACCATTTTGCGCTTCTCCAAGGCTAATGAGAACAAGGTCAGTTTTGTCCATTCAAATTTAGCTAAGCTGGACTGCATTGCCCACTTTTTGTTTAAATTTCAGCTCACAGCTAACTAAAAAGGAACTATTATCTTTAGTCCGGACTACGAGCGAAAGTCCCGACAAAGTTGGGTTCCGCCCATTCGCATGTGCATCCAATTCCATTAGCCAAATTTTCACGTGTCACTTTCGGCTCGACTTGCACATGAGATGGGATATCAAGAGGTGGAAATATCTCATATCACTTTATAATGAAGTTCATTTGCTCTTTATATATATGTAATCTTTTTATATTTATTAATTTAAATTTTTGGTAGGATTTTCTAACGATATGATTTTAGACAAAAAATTTTCTTAACAAAATTCGATATAAAATTTTTTGTTCAGAACATCAATGACAATAGGTACATGAAGCATTATAGTTGTCTTAAGTGCGTAAATGATGATTAAGCGTGTAATCGGGCACTAGTAGTCATTTGTTATCTAGCTGGTGAAGTTGCAACTGGGACTTGCAAGACCATCATCATCTCCTCGAAATTAATAATTACACTTATGAGCTGCCTTCCTTCTGTCTCTTTCCCAGCAAGTTCCAGCACTTTAAGCCCACTTCTACGTTCCCCCCTCATATTTATATTTATATTTATATTTGTATTATATAGTCGTAAAATAAAATAATCAAAGCATCACCCTCATCCCACCCTTGTATAAATACTCGTCCTCGCTTCAACACAACCCCCAACCTAAACAAAGCGAAGCTACCTCAGCTTTCACCTTTCCTCAGTCTCAGCCCAAACTCAGCTACAATGGCATCGTTCTTCGCTTGTAAGACAGCTCTGCCAAAGCTCTTCCTCGCCCTCTGCCTCTTCCAGACGGCCTCCGCCACGAGGAGGCTGGCCGAGCTGGTCCAAGACAAGTCTCCGCCCATGCTGTACCATAATGGCCCTCTCCTCTCCGGCAAGATCTCCGTCAACCTCATCTGGTACGGCCGCTTCAAGCCCTCCCAGCGCACCATCATCTCCGACTTCGTCACCTCGCTCTCTTCCAACCCTTCTCTGGCTCAGGCCCCTCCTTCCGTCTCTCAGTGGTGGAAGATGGTCGATAAGTACGACCAGCTCTCGTCCTCCAAGACGCGCAAGGCTTCGCTCACGCTCTCGCTCGGAAGGCAAGTCCTCGACGAGAGCTACTCGCTCGGGAAGTCCCTCACGAGCAAGCACCTCGTCGAGCTCGCGTCCCGGGGCGAGCAGCTGAACGCCGTCAACGTCGTGCTCACCTCCTCCGATGTGGCAGTCGAGGGGTTCTGTATGAGCCGGTGCGGCTCCCACGACTCCGTCGTCAGTTCCGTCAAGGTCAAGGGCAAGAGCTCGAGGTTCGCGTACATCTGGGTGGGCAACTCGGAGACGCAGTGCCCGGGGCAGTGCGCGTGGCCGTTCCACCAGCCCCTGTACGGGCCCCAGAGCCCGCCGCTGGTGGCGCCCAACGGCGACGTGGGCGTCGACGGGATGGTGATCAACCTCGCAGGCCTCCTCGCCGAGACCGCCACGAACCCGTTCTCGAACGGGTACTACCAGGATGAGGCGGGGGCAGCGCTGGAGGCGGCATCGGCGTGCACCGGGATCTACGCCAACGGGGCGTACGCGGGCTACGCCGGGAACTTGCTGGTGGATCCGGCGACGGGGGCGAGCTACAACGCGCACGGCGTCCACGGGAGAAAGTACCTGGTCCCGGCTCTCTACGACCCGTCCACGTCGTCTTGTTCGACGCTGGTGTGAGGGAAGTGGAGACAGATACAAATGCTGACGTTTACGCTACCAGATTGATTGATTCATTTGTTTATTGATTTTTAGCAGCTCTATATTATTGTCATTATAGTTAATGGAAGCCCCCAGTGATTGGGGATGCTACCTTGATTTCGACCATAGTTCATAACAAAATCTCAATTAGATTTTGGGTCAGAGTTAAAAATCTCAATTACTTCTAAAAGTTTCCTCTAGTTTAACAAACATTTCAACCCTGCAAAAAAAGAAGCAACATTATGCTCTCTCTATCGATTTGCCCATGCCTATAGACGCCATGCCACCGAAGCCTTTAGCCAACGCACGATATCCTCTGCCTCCAGCCACCACTACCTAGAAAAACTCTCAGTTGTACCGGAATAATATAAGCTCACTCGATCTCATCCTTTGAAAGATGCGGGTGCCATACTGGTCTTGCTAGGATCAAGTGGCTTCATGTCAATTCCGGTGCACTTTGGAATGGCTCCACCGCCTCCGACGGCCCTCGCTTCATCCCACCACTTCCACACCCATGCCTTTGCCCCGAGACCATTTCCACCCACCTATATGCCTCTTGTAACCTTTTTTCTTTCTTTCTTCATGTGATCGGTCTTGAATTTTATGGATGATGTGTCATCCGTTAGTGCTAGAGTTTAGGTGACTTTAGAACAAACCCGAGCCTTCGGTCATACAATACAATTCCATGCATTACAATATCCCTTTCACTTTACTCATCCCATATATATCATTTGTCAACCAGGGCCCCCAAGTAGCAAAACACCCATGAGTGGCCCATGCCTGGGCCAATACCATCGGCCACCACTTCAGACCGACAAAGCCGCCATATCCTTAAGCACAAGTCAGCCGCCTATTGTACCCACCACCGCTTCTCTTACACTGCCGTCTAGAAAATTACTCAAAAATCCTAAACATATTTCACTTGTGATAATTCACTCCTATACCTTTAAATTTGATCAATTTAGTCCTAAACCATTTGAAAATTTATCAATGTAGTATATATGGCCAAATTTGGTTAGAAATCGTTGACGTGGACGCCGGTCGTACGATGTGGACGTCAGTCGGCACTAACGTGGATGATTTTTGAAGTATTTTATTTTTTTCTGAAATTTTTATTTTTTATTTTTTTCATTGTTTCTCCGCTAGTTGCCAAGCCTCGGCGATAGCCAGCAAATAGGTTTAGAAGGTTTATAATTGAATTGGCACAAGTACAATATGTCTATAACTTTTTTGGTATTTACCCCCACCACTGTCCCACATTCCTCCGGAAAAATCTACGACCTTGTCTTGCCACCCCGCCGAAATCACACCACAAACTAAGCCCCTACGATGAACCCCTTCTATTAATTAAATTGGATGCACATAAATCATGTAATGTCCCTTGCCGTAAAAACAATTAGAGAATAAAGTTTCGTTTGTTTTGCGAAAAATAAATTATTTGAAAAACAGCTATCTAAAAATGATTCGCCCTACTGCCCTTCTCTAAGGCTAATGAGAAAAATCATTGTAACGTCAGTTTTGTCCATTCAATTGTAGCTAGGCTAAAATAGGGGTGAGCATGGTCTAGATGGGCAATTCCCACACTGGAACCAGGAACCGCCCACTAAAGATAGATTCCAAAAAACCGGAATTAGGAACCGCCCGTTTGGTTATATGGATCCATCTGGAAATCGGACTGCCGGTCCGGTCTGGTTTCTGGGTGGGTCCATGGAACCGGTCGTACCAAACTTCGCGCGACGCCTAGCCACGACATTCCCAATCTCGATAATGCAAGTCCGATAACACTAGCGTTTGCTGCCTTCCCCCTCCCGACGGTTCAAAGAGGAATTATAAGACAAAGTAAAGCAAAAAACAAAGAACTTCCCTGAACGGTCGGAGGCACAACCATGAGTCGATGGGAGTTAAGAGTCGAGGTCGTCAGTTAAAAGACGGAGACGGAGAGAAAGAGGTGAGAGTGAGACACGGAGACGAGAGAGAGTAGAGACCGAGATGAGAGTGAGACGGTGAGAATTTGAGACGAGATGAGCGAGATTTAGATTAGGGATTTTAGGATTTTCATTTTTTAAAATTAAATATATATTATATTACCGGTTCGGTCCAGGTGGGTGGTTCCACACTTGGAACCGGGAAACGGACTGGTTTCCTAAGGAACCATCGATCCCGAGCCGGTCCGGTCCGGGCGATTCCCGATTCCTCTGTACACCCCTAGGCTCGATTGCATTGCCCACTTTTTGTTTGAATTTCAGCTCACAGCGACCAAAAAAAAGAACTGTTATCTTTAGTCTGGACTACGACTGAAAGTCTCGACTGTTGGGTTACGCCCCCTTCGCATGTGTGTTCACTTCCATTAGGCAAATTTTCATGTGCCACTTTCAGTCCGGTTTGCACGTAAGAGGGGGTGTCAAGGAGTGAAAATATCCATACCAGTTGACAATGGGGTTTATATGCTTTTTATATGTATTTAATCTTTTTATGCCTATCATTTTAAGTTTTTGGGTAGGATTTTCTAATGATATGATTTTAGACAAAAGATTTTCTTAACAAAATTCGATATAAAAAATTTTGTTCAGAACATCAATGGCAATAGGTACATAAAGCATTATAGTTGTCGTAAGAGCGTAAATGATGATTGTGTAACGGGGCACTAGGTAGTCATTTGTTATCTAGCTGGTGAAGTTGCAACTGGGACATGCAAGACCATCTTCACCTCCTCGAAATTAATAATTACACTCATGAGCTGCCCTCCTTCTGTCTCTTTCCAAGCAAGTTCCAGCACTTTAAACCCACTTCTACGTACCCCCTTCATATTTATAATTATATTATATAGTCGTAAAATAAAATAATCAAAGCATCACCCTCATCCCACCCTTGTATAAATACTCCTCACCGCTTCAACACAACCCACAACTCAAAACAAAGCGAAGCTACCTCAGCTTTCACCTTTCCTCAGTCTCAGCCCAAACTCAGTTACAATGGCATCGTTCTTCGCTTGTAAGATAGCTCTGCCAAAGCTCTTCCTCGCCCTCTGCCTCTTCCAGACGGCCTCCGCCACGAGGAGGCTGGCCGAGCTGGTCCAAGACCAGTCTCCGCCCATGCTGTACCATAATGGCCCTCTCCTCTCCGGCAAGATCTCCGTCAACCTCATCTGGTACGGCAGCTTCAAGCCCTCCCAGCGCACCATCATCTCCGACTTCGTCACCTCGCTCTCTTCCAACCCTTCCCTGGCTCAGGCCCCTCCTTCCGTCTCTCAGTGGTGGAAGACGGTCGATAAGTACTACCAGCTCTCGTCCTCCAAGACGCGCAAGGCTTCGCTCACGCTCTCGCTCGGAAGGCAAGTCCTCGACGAAAGCTACTCGCTCGGGAAGTCCCTCACGAGCAAGCACCTCGTCGAGCTCGCGTCCCGGGGCAAGCAGCTGAACGCCGTCAACGTCGTGCTCACCTCCTCCGACGTGGCCGTCGAGGGGTTCTGCATGAGCCGGTGCGGCTCCCACGACTCCGTCGTCAGTTCCGTCAAGGTCAAGGGCAGGAGCTCGAGGTTCGCGTACATCTGGGTGGGCAACTCGGAGACGCAGTGCCCGGGGCAGTGCGCGTGGCCGTTCCACCAGCCCCTGTACGGCCCCCAGAGCCCGCCGCTGGTGGCGCCCAACGGCGACGTGGGCGTCGACGGGATGGTGATCAACCTCGCAGGCCTCCTCGCCGGGACCGCCACGAACCCGTTCTCGAACGGGTATTACCAGGATGAGGCGGGGGCGGCGCTGGAGGCAGCATCGGCGTGCACCGGGATCTACGCCAACGGGGCGTACGCGGGCTACGCCGGGAACTTGCTGGTGGATCCGGCGACGGGGGCGAGCTACAACGCGCACGGCGTCCACGGGAGAAAGTACCTGGTCCCGGCTCTCTACGATCCGTCCACGTCATCCTGTTCGACGCTGGTGTGAGGGATGTGGAGACAGATAGAAACGATGACGTTTACGTTACCAGATTGATTGATTCATTTGTTTATTGATTTTTAGTTGCTCTATATTATTGTCCTTATAGTTAATGGAAAAGGCAAACCACTTTTATATGCTACAATTATGCGCCAGTGCAAAGCAAGCGGACTAATCCACTCTTAATCTGAGGATTTCAGCTCTTCACTCACACTAATCAATAAACTAAGCGGGCTCATTACACCATTTGTGGACCAAAAACATGGAGCTTCGGTCGAGGGCGCCAGAGAAATCCATCATTAACACTACTATGGTCTTTGGTTATGGCAAAAGGCACGTGGGATGAGAATTCTGACATTTCTTAGTGAACATGCTGTATATAACACAAACGTGTCGCAGTTAAACAAGAGTTTTGTTCTTCCCTTAGCTGTCCCAATGCCCTGTAATGAAATGCATAATTGCTGGACACAGAGCTTTGACCTCGCGACAGCGAAAGCAATTCATTAACAAGCAAACGCGTCAACTCTGGCCTCTCTTGCCTTTTACTTCACCACTCTCTCCTCCCTCCCATCCTCTCACCTTCCCCCTTTCCTTTATCGTCATCACTCAAATCCAACTTCATTTCTCTCGCTCAGCTACATCCTAAGGGCTCCAGTCATTCTCTTTCTCACTCCCACCCATCAGATTGATCAAATTCGTGTTTTCTATATTGGGTGATCTTCTTATTGGGGTTTTCGTATATGCATGTTTGTTTTTGTATAGAAAAAATCACTTTGTGGTCGAAAGTGAATTCGGCAGAAACTCGGTTGGATCTTGATGAGGGATTATGTTTTGATTTTGACCATTGAGCATAACAAAATCTCAATTGAATCTTGGATTGAGTTACACAATCTTTTGCACTCAAAGTCTCAATGATTTTGCGGATCATTGTGTAATTCGAGCCGGTTTGAACACAGTTACTTCTGAAAGTTTTCTCGAGTTCAACTATCTAAAATTTAACCATGCAAAAAAGAAAAACAAAACAAAATTGCACTCTCTCTACCAGTGAGCCTATGCCCAACGACGCCACGCCACTAAAGCCCTCAGCCCACGCCAATATCCTTTGCCTCCAGCTATCACCACCTTGAATAATTCTCCATTGCACCGAAATCATTTGAGCCCACTCGATCTCATCCAGTTAAAGATGCAGATCCCTCGCTGAATCACGATTAGGATCAAATGGCCTTATGCGATTCCGGTGCACTTTGGAATGGCTCCACCGCCTCTGTCGGCCCTTGCCTCATCCCACCACTTCCGCACACATTCCTTTGCCCCCGAGGCCATTTCCACCCACCTATGCGCCTCCCGTAACCTTTATTTTTCTTTCTGTGTGCGCTCAATTTTGAATTATATGGATGATGTGTCATCTGTTAGTGCTAGAGTTTAGGTGAATTTAGAACAAACCCAAGCTTTCGGTCGCACAATACAATTCCACGCATTACATTATCCCTTTCACTTTACTCATCCCATATATATCATCGGTCAACCAAGGCCACCACGTAGCGCAACACCCACGAGTGGCCCATGCGCGGGCCAATACTATCGGCCACCACTTCGGGCCGACAAAGCCACCGCACCTTTAAGCACAAGTCAGCCGACTATTGTACCCACCACCATTTCTTCTCTTGCACCGCCGTCCCACATTCCTCCGCACAAATGTCCGACTTTGTCCTGCCACCCCGCCGACCATCTCCTGACCGCACCGCAAACCGAGCCCAATGTCGAACCCACTTCCCATTAATTAAATTGGATGCACGATAAATCACGAAATGTCCCTGGCCGGAAAAAACAATCGATAATTTAACACAAGAGAAAGGGAATCACGAGATGGTCGGATTTCGGGCCACATTCAAAATTCACGATTGCCATTAAGGAGATATATTTCGAAAAAGAAAAAAGAGATGGAAATTATAGGATCGTTCAAATGGAGATGCTCCCACAAGAAGGATCATTTACTGGCATCCCATAGAGTTATCTGAAAACTATTGTGAAAGGTAACGGTGCAGGTTGTAATGGCATTCCATGGCTTAATAATATGCCGTTTGCCTTGTATGTAGACCTGTCAAATGGATGGGTCGGGTCGAAAATGTTCAAACCCAAATTGACTCATTTTCATGTATTACAAATTTAGTGACCCATACCTGACCCGACTCATATTGTTAAAAACATTTATATATTTAACTAAATAGAGAAAAACTCTTATCTAAATTAAGATGAAAGCATAGAGTGAGTGATTGCGAGATTGAGCAAGAGCGAGAAAAAGTGAAGAGAGAGTCGTAGAGGTGGGTTGGGTCTAAGTAAGTTGTGAACCTATTCAATACCAATTTTAAACCCATTTGTGACCCGAAGAGTTTGATCTAAACCCATTTATTAAATATAACTAACCAATATAACATCTCAGCCCATCAGTTATGAGTTAAGAAATGGGTATATGACCCATTTTGACAAATCTACTTATATGAAATGGGGTCGATATGTCATGACCTTCTACTTGATTTGAAATGATAGATCATCTCAGTACCCTAGCCATGTGCAACAAAGGTTGCATGACCTTCCACCATTAGTAGGCAAGGGTTGCTAACACTTGCCCGAGGATCGACGGGGTCCAAGCTCATAAACCTCATCAATGTCTCTCTACATCTTCTTCTTATCTTTTCTCATCCTTTTCTTATTTTCCATTCTACTTTTTAATATACGTGCTAATGCAATGCCATAAATAAAGCCATTAAATGGGTGGGTTGGATCGGATTTGGGTTAGGTCGAAAATAGTTCGACCCAAATCGATCAAATTTGCCTGTTTTGATCAATTTATATGCAATACAAATTTAGTGACCCATACCTGACTTGACCCATTTACTAAAATACTTACATATTTAATCCAACATATGAAAATACTTACTTATTTACTATTAGAATATTACATAAAATTAACAATGCCAAATGCAACCAAGAAAAGATGTGCTTCAATAACCAACAGACGAAACTTACAAGATTATTAAAAAAAATAATTGGATAAAAAGAAGCCGTTTTGATATTTTAAATAAGGGTGAAGTCCGATGGATCTTGAGGGTCCACTATGACTTCTCTGGACTTAAAAAAATCCGAGGAATTCATTATTTTCTCATGAGGGTGAAGAGAGAGTTACAAATGTGATTTGGATGTAAATAAACTGTGAACCCATTTAACACTCATTAAGCGTGCTCTGCCAACTACCATACAAACCTTTGGCAAGAATCCGATTGAATTTTCCGTCGAAACGCATCAATTGGAAAAAAAGAAAGTCGAATTTCATGGAATATGGCGGTTCGACGTTAACGTCCACTGACTTTGTCGCGCAATCCATGAAAGTTCAGTTACCATCACTATTAGAGTTAACTAAAATGAATGGGGGTCATGGCGTATGTTTGCGAATCTAAACTTTTACTCGACTTTATGTGTCACGGGCTCCCAAGACTTTGTAATTACTCATAGTAGAAGGGCTACGATAAATTCAAAAACTTCAGTTAAGCCCGTGATGTAATTGGCAGTTGATGTCGCTTATCTCTAAATTCAGGGTCTACGAAGCCTACACTATAAAAACAGTTGGTTTTTTCAATTCAGGGTCTCGACAAAACCAATCCGACATGATAAACTAGCAGTGTAGTATTGACACATTGTACTTGAGATATGTCTTTTAGGCGGGCGGAGTTCATGCATCGAATCTCCACAATGAAATTCAATTTTGGTTTTTCTTGCAAGCATCAAACCACGACCGTCCACCAAAATCTAGCAGATTTAACTTCACGGATGCAACTTTTATTCGACCCCATATATATATGTGCAGCCCCCACAGATAGCACTAGATGAGTAGATGTCAAACTCATTTGGGCCAATAAGACTTTAAGGTGCTGCTGGCAAATTTATGGTGGTGAAATGTCATCAAAGTCAACACCTACCCAAGAGCAAAGCACTGTCCATCATCCTCTACACAACTTTGAGCCATTTGGGGGCATCGTCAACTTTCGTCCGTTACCACCGACCGGTGTTTTCTAACGAGTGCTCATTTGCCTTGGACTTTATCAACCTAGGGCTTGTCTTGGCTTTTGCTAGGTTTGGGTATATCTTCAATGACTTAAAACCCCGTGATTGGTAAACACAAAATCCTGCATCAATGCCTTTATTAAGGTTGGGTAATCTCCTTGGTTAGTGCATCGATTTCCGTGTATGTCAAGACAAAAGACAAATACTCAAACTCGTGACAATTTTTATCAATAAACCTTACTATAATGGTGTGCTTGTCGTGGGAAAACGAATGATTTAGAAAAAAAAATTCAAAAAATGATCGTTCGTATCACTTATCAGACTAAATCAATGAAAAATATTTTCATCGTCCACAAAATTTTTTAGACATGAATTGTTGTTAATAATGAAAATATTTTTCATTGGCTAATTTTTTCAAGTGATACAAATCGGGATATGCAAAAGGAACCGCCTGGACCAAACCGGCTAGCTCGAGACGGTTCCCGAGAGTATCGATTTGGTTCTCGATTTCAAAAAATTGGAATCGGCGATTTTCATTTGGTTCCCGGTTCCATGTGTGGTACCGTCGACCCAGACCATCTGGACTGAACCAATTTTTTAAAAAATATTTCTTACAAATTTATAAAATACCCTAAGCACGCACGACTCTTACCTTTGCTCGTCTCCTATCGTGTCACTTTCCTTTATCAATGAGCTCAAATGAATTTGCCAGCAGCACCTTAAAGTCGTGTTGGCCCAAATGAAATGATATCTAGTGCGATTTGTGGGGGCTGCACATATATATTATCTATCTACTAAAAAAAGGGGTCGAATAAAAGCGGCATCCGTGAAGTTAAATTTGCTAGATTTTGGTGGACGGTCGTTGTTTGATGCTTGCAAAAGAACAAACCAAAATTGAATTTCATTGTAGAGATTCGATGCATGAAAGACATGTCTCGAGTACAATGTGTCTAAACTGCTAGACTAGTTTATCATGTCGGATTGTTTTGTCGAGACCCTGAATTGAAAAAACCAAGGATCCACCACGTCTCTTTATAGTGTAGGCCTCGCAGCACTAGTTTTAGCGATTAAGTATCATCAACTGCCAATTACATCATGAGCATAGCTGAGGTTTTTTGAGTATATCGTGTCCCTTCTATTATGAGTAATTGACAAAGTCTTGGGAGCCCGTGACACATAAAGTCGAGTAAAAGTTTAGATTCGCAAACGTACGCCACGACAACCTTCTTTTTAGTTAACTCTAATGGCGATGGTTACTGAACTTTCGTGCATTGCGCAATAAAGTCGTTGCACGTCAATGTCGAACTGCCATATTCGATGAAATTCGACTTTTTTTTTTTTCAAGAGATATGATTAAGTAACTGTCTTCAATCTATTAAGAGAATAACAATATGTTCTAGGCCATAAAAAGATAAAAAAAAAATTATAAACTGTTGTGGGGTCCATTCTTTGAAAAATTTGTGAAAGTGGCCCAAAAATTATAATGCTATCAAAACCCTTTTTCCAATTAATGCACCCCAATGGAAAATTCTATCGGATTTCTTGCCAAAGTTTGGTATGGTAGTTGGGAGCCCACTCTTGATTCTAAATTGGAGACTTACATATAGACTTGTAGACATATTTCTTAATCTATATTTGATGGACAAAGTCATTCTATTGGTTAGCTATCTTCAATAAATGGGCTATAAATGGGTTGATAATGTCAAGGCCCAAAAATATATGGGTGTTAAATAGCTTCACAGTTTACCCAAAAATTACAAAAAACAAAATCATCTTTAACTTTACTTGCACTATTAAATATTTCGTTATGTTTTGAAACTACAATTCTCATTCTCACTTTTTACAATGGATTTCAAATTGTGTCTTCACTCATACTCTCTTCCCCCCACCCACCTCGCCCAAGAGGCTTGCTCAGTTCGACAAATCCACCGCGCCCCATCATGTCTCCCCCTCTCCACCGCGCACGCTGTCGTCGTCCCTTTGGAGGCCGTCGCCGCCGCTGGAGCCTAGGTCGAGGCCAAATGACAAGCTCGATTTCACAGGAGTATCTTTAACGAAATCGAATCCAAAATGCTAAACCGATGCAAATTAGGCTTACAACTTCGACTAACACCGCAATTCAGCACTAGATTCTCTTTGGGGGAAAATGGTTTAGATGGCCGACTAATCCTGTAGACAGAGACGAGAGTAATCAAACATAAATGACAACTTCTCCACATCAAAGTGGCTCTAGTCAACCACCTGATGGCGAGCCCAAAGCCATAGTTATCCCCATACCTACCTGCATCAACAGGGAGTGAGATCATATGATACAGACGCGCAACAGCAATAGCCCCATTCGCAAACGCGTAATCAAAAGCAAGCCGTGCGCCCGTCCAACTAATGCAAATTGGAGTGTTGTGGGCGTCTCGTTCTCTAACCAAGAAGTCGAGAAATGACAGGGTAGGGGGTCCGATTTCAAGTCGGCAAAGCTCCTATTTCCATGCAAAAGTCGTCCCTTGCATTAAAACACCTCTTGTTCCTTTCGTCCTAACGAAATTCAGCCCTCGCAGCGCAAGCTGGATGTAACTCCACCCCTCTAACAGCTCCCTTAGCCTTTATCGTGTCATGTGGTCTTTTTTCCCCTCCGTTGTCACGTCCATATCGTTTATGCGTGCAATAATGTCCCGTGGCCCTAGCCGTGTCCAAGGAGAGTTGTGTTCATGGAAATGAAGCGTGCACAGAGGACTTTTTAGGTCCTCCCTCCTCGTACCCCTATGGATGCGACCAACGTCGTGGCGATACCAAGCTGGATATAACAGAGTAGAAAGCTACTGGAGCATCGGCATTATTGAATCAAGTACGCAATCACATTTTTTCCTTAAACACTTTACGGGTGGGAAAGAAGGGCGTGGATAGTATATCTTAACAAGTTTAGTGATGCTCCGGAGACCTCACGATATGGTAAGAAAAAAGAAAAGATTTAAATGGATCAAGTGCTTAGATTACGTGTAGAAATATACAAAAAATTTTAATCCATTTGTGAATGTTGGGAGCACGTGCTAAATGGGAGCTCAAGTTTGAGCCTATTAACATATTCGGTTGGATCAACATTTACTCGAAAGTTTAAGTTAATGAGTTATGGGCAAATTAAGATATATTAATTATTTTACACTAGACCACACTACACCACGCCAGTTGTTCAATGTAGGATTTCTATAACACAACTCACACGTGCATCCTAACAGTGAAAATATTCAGTTGAAAGTGCATAGTGTCTTCATGACCTCGGAGTGGATATAATGCAATTTGCTTTTGGCTCCAAACATGACTGACCCCGATTATCTGCACAAGTTTCATGCTGATGGACCTAAGAAAAAAGGCTTTTGTCTAATGACAATCGGAGTTGTTTCGTCGTTCGACAAAACCAAATTTGGGGTACACAAGTGGGTCTAATTCAGTCAGCCTAGCCGTCGGGATTGGTAATGAATTCCAATATAATTTATTCAGTCACCAGGAAATAATGCATCGAAAAAATACGATTCCATTATACAATAGAAGCCTATTTCCCAATGGATCAGAACAAGAACATAGTCCCCCTAAGAAAATGCCCGCGAGGGAAGTCAAGACTATAAATATTTATATTCTCTTTATATACGTATAATTTCACTTTCGAACGTCGAATTCCGCCACAATTTATTTTGTCTATACCTCCATACATCTTAGTCCAACTTACGTGCGAGGCGGGTAGAGCAACATCCTTTCGATTCGGGTGTTTTCTTGTAATGTTCCAGAAAACGTCGCCTCCAGCTCGAACCCCAACCAAAAAGCAACAGTACCCTTTTGACCTTCCACACCCGTCAAACCAATCCGGCGCGTCTTCTCTTCTCCCTCGCGAGACGTTTCCTCGCACTCTTTTCTCTTTCAGAGCTAGCTGTGCCCCCTGCGCACACGCACGCGCTCATTCCAACTTCCTCCTCCCGTATAAATACATCGCCTCTCCCCCTCACACACTCATCAACCAAGCAGAAGCAAATCAATCTCTCGTTCTCTCGTCTTCTTCCTCGTTCTCTTACTTGTTCTTCCCTGTAAAAATGGCCTCTTCGAGCCACAGCAACTTCGCGAGCCTCGCTTTACCTGTGCTCGTGATCCTCTGCTTCCTCGGTCCGTGCCCAGCGGCCTCCTCTCTCGTCCAGGAGCAGCCCCTCGTCCTCAAGTACCACAACGGCCCCCTCCTCAAGGGCAACGTCACCCTCAACCTCCTCTGGTACGGCGCCTTCTCCCCCGCCCAGCGCTCCGTCGTCCTCGACTTCCTCCACTCCCTCTCCGCCACGGCCGCCTCCCCGCCCCCCTCCGTCTCCTCGTGGTGGCGTACAACCGCCCGCTACAAGGGCGGCCCTTCCAACCTCGCCGTCGGGGTCCAGATCCTCGACGAGAGTTACTCCCTCGGCAAATCGTTGCAGACGGGGCAACTGGCGGCTCTGGCTTCTAAGGTCGGCTACAAGAGCATCAAGACCAGGGCGCTCGCCATCAACCTCGTGCTGACCTCCGCCGACGTGGCGGTCGACGGGTTCTGCATGAGCCGGTGCGGTACCCACGGCTCCGGCGCCGCCGGGAAGGCCAAGTTCACGTACGCGTGGGTGGGGAACGCGGTCAGCCAGTGCCCGGGGCAGTGCGCCTGGCCGTTCCACCAGCCGCAGTACGGTCCGCAGACGCCCCCGTTGGTGGCGCCCAACGGCGACGTCGGGGTAGACGGGATGGTGATCAACCTGGCGACGGTGCTGGCGGGGACCGTGACGAACCCGTTCAACAACGGGTACTACCAGGGGGTGGCCGGGGCGCCGCTGGAGGCGGTGAGCGCGTGCACGGGGATCTTCGGGAAGGGCGCGTACCCGGGGTATCCTGGCCAAGTCCTGGTGGACAAGACGACGGGGGCGAGTTACAATGCGATCGGCGTCCATGGCCGCAAGTTTCTGTTGCCGGCCATGTGGGACCCGAAGACGTCCGCGTGCGAGACCCCCGTGTGAATCGCGATACTGAAAGTCTAAAAGGAGTTCATAGCATAGGTATGACCGTATGAGCTTTTGTGGAAATGCTAGAGGAATTGTAGTTCATTTGTTATTCAAACGAGAAAGAATGTAAAAATGTATAGAAAGTTGCAATAATATGTGAAAGTAATAATTTTATTTATGGAAAAATGCAAACTTCTATTTATTATAAAGTAGACAAGAAAAAACCAACATATGCATCTTCTTATTTTAACATAACCATTTCAATACAATGTCCAAGCAACACACAAAATACATGGAAAGGGTCACAGTAACATAACTTCAACACTTTATTCTTATGCCCAAAAGTCTGCCTGTACATCCAACTCAAGGATGGATGATCTACGGCATCATCACGCCTCCTCCATTGTCATGCCCATGGGACCATCGATCCCTCTCAATGGTCCGACCGTCTCGCCTTTTACATCAGCGTACCATGCGATGAAATGGTGGGAAGAAGCTTGGGTAAGCCTACATCCACCTAGACAGTGGAACTACACTTAACATACACTATCTCGATTCTCGGTATGAGTATATCCTGATATTCTCATTTTATATACAATGGCACTCCAAAACATGCATAGGAGGAGGAACCATCCTACAAATCTAAAAAATAAAGGAATGAGCCAAAGTCCAGTAAACGAAATCTCTAAGTTTAAGGTAGGAAATTATCTCATTACTCAATGTTAAATTAAGACGAGTAAAAAATAACTCTAGAAGGCAATTGAAAGAATACTGCACTATTCTTCTTATCACATATGCCAATGAATTGATGAATCATGCTGCGTAAGATTATTTACTTCATTGCAAGCGGATGGCATAATATATTTGATGCACGACTAACATCAATTAGCTCATCAATAGGCACGTATGAACATATGCATTTATAATGTGCGCACACACATATATCATATTCAATTTTTGCATATCGTCTCATCCCGAATACTCCCAGAGCATCCCAACACACTAAGGCATCTCGAACACTCTCGGGGCATCTCGACTCACGAGATATCTCAAGATGCCCTGACAGAAGGGGAATCTCGACTCCCAAGGCATCCGGAACACTCCCAGGGCATCTCAACTCCGAGGTATCATCGCCACTAATACGCTGGCGACGGAAACATGCAATAATATTTCCGCAACAATAGTGGAGATAACATTACACAATTTTTTTTAGATGTTCCTTACATCAACACTAAATTCAATACTCATTTATTATCTCTTGACTAGCCATTCTCAAAATCAACATTTGGCACACGGCATCATTTTATGCAAAATATTACCGAAATACAATCGCCGTGTTTTTTCAATGCATCACTTACATAAATAGTAATAACACCCTTAGCTCTTTTCGTTTTCTATGTGAACGATGATAACATAGTCAAAGATTGATAGATTCGTCAACAAGTTACAAATTGATAACACAAAGAATACACAACTTAACAATCGACATCTTGTACATCGACAACTTGGTCTCAATCGACAAATCAACTCGAAAATCAACAACGTGGACATCGACACCTCGAAGATTCAACCACGTCAATGTCGACATATCAAATAATCAACAACACGATTAATTGGCAACACTTAGCTAGTAAATAGATAACTTAATTGAATTGCAAAAATATCACTTTCTAGTTTAATTTCATTATTTCCACGTCTATTACTATTGAATCTTACGGAAGTCGATTAATCACAACCTTGACTTGTAAAAGACTCATCGACTCAAATCAAACGAGCACAACGATTCAACAAGCGTTCCTTAGAACTTTCTCACGCTTAACATCAAAGTCCAAACCCAAATTAACAACCATCAAACGACCAAGTCAAAAGTGCTAAGTAGATTGACCTAACTTAGCCCTTAAAGGTTCACTTACCTTGAAAATGACTTGAGCAAATCAAAGCTTTAAATACCTTCAAAGCACAATAATCAAGAACATAAATGAAGAACCCTCAATATTCGTAAGTTACGAAACTATTTTGATAAGATGAAGAGGAAATACAACAATTCACCTTATGAACGCTTGAAAATCGATTTGGAAACTTTCAAAATACAAACGTAGGACCTTGGCCTTTGATTCAAAAGAGTGGGAAATGAAAGAGAAGGGAAAGTGACATGGAACTCTTTCTTTTCTTTGTAAGAATATGTTGAAGCTCTCTAATTAGAACTTGGGGGATGTATTTGGAAGACTCAAATGAGTACAAAAGGATAAGATCTTTTAACCAAGGTCAAAAACACTACGTTGAGATTAGATGAGAGGTGTTCAAATTAAAGGGTGACATTTGGCTTAACCCTATGGTTTCAAAGTAGATATTCTGATAATTCGCCAAGATATCTAGTAAATCAGTATGTAAATAAGAAAATCAATATCCGATTTAAAAATTGATAATACGGAAAAATATTTTAGACCTGTCAAAACATTAAGCAAAATTTACCAAGCGCAAGGAGGGACTCAACTCAGTAAATTTCTAAGCTGCCACTAATTCGATACGTAAACTCGGAGCGTAACAGTCTCTATTAACAACCAAAGTGACGACACATGTTTCATTGTCGCTCTAGATAATCAATCCAAAAATAGATATTCATTAATATAGCCCTAACGAATCACTTTCCGAAAATTACGGACACGCAAAATACTGCCATGTTAATAATCCGACTAAAATTTTGACCTGTGATATTTATCGCATTTATTTCTTACATGTTATTAATTAATGTAGGAATTTCCAGACTTTACATATGGTCTGCAAAGCAAGGTGCGTAGCGGCCGGTGCAACCGACCTTTGGCAAGAGATAGACCTCGAGAAATAGTCCCAGACTTCTCAGAAGCTGGAGGAGTCCGAAGAGTCCATCTTTTTTTCTCATATTTTATTCGGTCAATCAGGAAATAAGACATGGATTACGATCCCATTAGCCCGTCTCCCTGTCTCCCACTGGATCGGAACAGGAACATAGTCACCCCAAGAAAACGTCCGCCACGGGCGTAGCAAAATATCCACTCGATTTCGGTCCACTTTGCTTGCATCCCAATAAAGTCAGTGTCTTCATCTTGTGCTGTCCGAGAAAAAGTCGCCCCCAGCTCAAGCACCCAGCAAAAAGCAGCAATACCCTTTTGACCTTTGAACCCGTCAAAACCAATCCGACGCGTCTTCTCTTCTTCTCACTCCACTCCCGAGATGCTTCCTCCCTCTATCTTTCTTCCCCTTCCGAGCCAGCTATCCTCCCAGCCCCCACGCACTCACGCACTCACTCCCCCCCTTCCTCCACCGTATAAATACATCGCCGCTCCCCCTTCCTCACTCATCACCCAAGCAGAAGCAAATCAATCCCTCGTTCTCTTATCTTCTTCCTCCTTCTCGCACTTGTCCTTCCCTGTAAAAATGGCCTCTTCAAGTTACAGAAACTTCGCGAGCGTCACTTTACCTGTTTTCGTGATCCTCTGCTGCCTCGGCCCCCGCCCAGCAGCCTCCGCTCTCGTCCAGGAGCAGCCCCTCGTCCTCAAGTACCACAACGGCCCCCTCCTCAAGGGCAACGTCACCCTCAACCTCCTCTGGTACGGCGCCTTCTCCCCCGCCCAGCGCTCCGTCATCCTCGACTTCCTCCACTCCCTCTCCGCCACGGCCACCTCCCCGCCCCCCTCCGTCTCCTTGTGGTGGCGCACAACCGCCCGCTACAAGGGCGGCCCTTCCAACCTCGCCGTCGGGGTCCAGATCCTCGACGAGAGTTACTCCCTCGGCAAATCGTTGCAGACGGGGCAACTGGCGGCTCTGGCTTCTAAGGCCGGCTACAAGAGCATCAAGACCAGGGCGCTTGCCATCAACCTCGTGCTGACCTCCACCGATGTGGCGGTCGACGGGTTCTGCATGAGCCGGTGCGGTACCCACGGCTCCGGCGCGGCCGGGAAGGCCAAATTCACGTACGCGTGGGTGGGGAACGCGGTCAGCCAGTGCCCGGGGCAGTGCGCCTGGCCGTTCCACCAGCCGCAGTACGGTCCGCAGACGCCCCCGCTGGTGGCGCCCAACGGCGACGTTGGGGTCGACGGGATGGTGATCAACCTGGCGACAGTGCTGGCTGGGGCCGTGACGAACCCGTTCAACAACGGGTACTACCAGGGGGTGGCCGGGGCGCCGCTGGAGGCGGTGAGCGCGTGCACGGGGATCTTCGGGAAGGGCGCGTACCCGGGGTATCCTGGCCAAGTCCTGGTGGACAAGACGACAGGGGCGAGTTACAATGCGATCGGCGTCCATGGCCGCAAGTTTCTGTTGCCGGCCATGTGGGACCCGAAGACCTCCGCGTGCAAGACCCTTGTGTGAATCGCGATTCTGAAAGTCTAAAAGGAGTTCGTAGGTATGAGCATTAGAGGAAATGTTTGATGAATTCTAGCGGAAGGAATGTAAAAATGTATAGAAAGTTGCAATAATATGTGAAAATATCTCTACTTCTGGAAACCGTCACACCGGTTCGACCAATCATGGGTTGGTGAATAATTTGATTTATGGAAAAATGAAAACTTCCATTTATTATAACATAAACAAAAAAAAAACCATCCTTACCAAAAAAAAAAAACCAACGTTATGAGTCAATCCTGTGTTATGTCGAATGCAAGGTCATAAGTTTTATGTCATGAACGATACTCTGATCTATATATGGCTTGAATATGTTTCATTTCGTATAAAAAGACTTCTCGGCTTCTGCTACGTTCATAAATGCGAGAACGGACTCGCCAACATTAGAAGTTAAGAGTATCAGAAGAGTGGTTATAATTTGTTGACACCTAAATTTTGGCTAATCATTTAGTAATTTATGAGTATTATAAGAGCCGAAATTTTCCCATAGGATAACTGAGCAATTAATCTTGATTATAATTCAAATCTTGAAAGATAATTGTTCGATTTGGTTTGATATTATCAAGATTTTAAGAGATAATAAAAGTTTCATATCAGTAAAGTGTATCTCTTAAAATTTAAAATTGGGAATTTTAATCTAAACCTAATACTATATAAAGGGACGTCCATTCATGTTTGAAGGGGGAGGCCACAGAATTGAAATACACGACACGTTGAGAGAAAAGAAAGGTAAAAAGAAGGAAGTCCCTCCGCGGCCGCCGTTCGTGTCCCTTGGTGCTGGACTTTCACGCTGCGAATTGCAGCGCCCCTCACTCCCTCGCACACTCAA